GTGAACATTGAAGCCGTTAATGTTAGTAATCAAAATAGAAAAGAACTGGAACTATGTATACATATTGAACATGATGCCCGAAAAACTGCTAAGAGAAATATGTAGTCGAAACAAATAGAAAAAAAGGAGAGATGCCGTTGCACATAGACACAACCAATGGAATAAGAAGAGAGATGAGAAGCAATAAATATATATTAAATGAATAGATAAAAGAAAATAAATACGGAGACTTTTTACTAAAAAAAGTTTTTTTATTAATAACGTCTTTTGTGATTTCATTTGTACTCTGTTGGCGCTGCCCTGGATCCCGTTTCCTACTTGAATATATCTTTGTGATCTTAAATAAGATTTTATTTCTACTAACGAATTAACATGAGGCTCGTAACATAATCCACTAGCTTGTAATATGAATGAAAGATATAATTATAAACAATTTTTATACTCACTTATGAATTAATAAATTTTGGAGTACGTATTATTTAATTGTCATGAATTGCTAACTTTATATATAAACTTTAAGTGGATTAACAAAGTGAATGAATGATTTAAGTTGCTGAGTTCAAATATAATAATAAATCTTTACTTACTAACTAACCCAATATATCTTTATGAACTTGAATAAACTAATATATTAATTAAATTATAAATAGATAATAAACCTTTAATCTATTATAATATTATAAATTATCATAAATTATCAAAAGGTAAGCACGTAATATTAGTACATGCTTTAATACTAATGAAAATAAATCAACAAAGCTATTAATTAAGCAATATTAGAAATGGAACTTTTATCTAAACGGTCCGAATAACCCGAATTTTACTAATTATTCGGATTATCCGTAATGCACATGCTTTACAAGCCATTATTGGCTGATTAAGTTTATTACGTTTATACTTAGTCATAATGCAAGATAAAAACCATGATCTTTAGTATCTGTACGATAATAATTTTTTGTTATCCGGTTATCTGCCGGGGTTAGTTACGGATAGAGATGGGACCCGTTATCCGTTCAGATAAAACGGAGATTATCCGTATCCGCTTTATCTAAGCAATATACTTACTAATATAAAGAGCCATAGTTAAATGATTAAACAAACACTCTGATAATTACAATTTCTAAAAGTCAGAATTAAACGATTGTCTAATCGATTTTAAACTCTATTCTATATTTATTAAAAATATTTATACCCAAGACACACAGTGTATAAGTTGCAAAAATTAGATTATTAACAATGTTGTCGCAAGAAATTTATAATTGAATTTTTATGTTCTCACATAAGTGCAGTGATGGTAAATGGCCTGGTCATTTGATCATATTAAATGACTCCAGTCATCAAATAATACCAAGTCATTTAGGTCATTTTGTAACCTTTCTAATTATGATCGTAATTATATATAAAAGTCAAAAATTTTACTAAGTTAGAGCTGCCAAGTGAAGCCTCGTACGTATATCTAAAAATAGATTTTTTTTTATGCAGAGAAATTGCGGTCTTTCAAAAATTATTAATGATTGTATATTGTATAATCATTAATAACTTTTGAAAGACTGCAACTTCTCTGCATAAAAAAAATCTATTTTAAGATATACAGGTTTCACTTGGCAGCTCTCATTGGTGTCTTAAGTAAAATTGTTGGGATAATAATTGGATATATTCTGAAACTTTCATATAATTTGAAAAATTTTTTTAAAACACTCAGTATTTTACTTTTACAGTACATAAAAAAATTTATAATTTTTTTTTTTTATATAAATGTAAAATGCAAAAGTGAATTAATAAAAAGTTATTCAAATTATTTGAAAAATTTCAGAATATATACAAATTTTAATTTTATTTAAGACACAAATATCAATTAACTTAGTAAAATTCTTACTTTTATATATAGCTACAATTGTTAATTATATTTATAAAAAAATTATTTTATTCGGCAACTAATTTGCATATTATTCTTTATCTTTATCTTCATCTTCTTCGATCTCCTCGAGATCATCATCATCGTCTGCGAGTTCTGGATACAAACGTAAAATACAATTTAAAATTTCATTTAACAAGAATTAAAAAGATTTTTTTATATATAAAAAATATATATATTACCATCTTTGTATACATCAGGATATTTTTTGAAGCATTCATTCATTTCTCTGAAAGCATCTAAACAATCGGCACCTTTCTGTTCGGCTTTCGAATATATGAAGCATGAAAACGCAGCTTTAAATTCTTCTCCGCAAGGGCCCTTAGCCATACCTCCTAGGCATGGACAATCCCAATTTATTTCACCAGTTTCCGGGTCGTAAGCACCGGACTGCATTTCCTCTTCACTTGTTTCAGCTTCAATTTCTTGTGAGGAATTTTCATCAGCTTTTTGCTTTTCAGGTTCTT